CTTTGCTCTTATTCATGATAATAGGCATTACATTGAGCTTAAAAAGCCCATCAGTTAAATAACCTTTGCCTACAAACATTCCTAACTTAGACAAAACAATCTTGTCTGACTCGAACACCATGCGGAACCCATGCTTGTTCAGTAGTGAGCCAGACACCAGATTCTTTCTCAGCTCTGGAACATACAGCACGTTGTTCAACGTCAGTTCCTTCCCGGAAGTCATCTTCAGAACCACCTTGCCCACGCCTTCCACAGTAGACTGAGCAGAGTTTCCCTTCCAAACCTTCTCGCCCTCAACGGTCTCAAAGGTGTTGAACATTTCTCAGTTGCAACACAAATGCCTTGTTGCACCAGTGTCGATGAACCACTCTCGTGGGTTAGAGTCCATGAGATTCACCTCAGTCACCATAGCCGAAAGGCTAATCTCGACTTCCTTCTGACTGCTTTCCTCAACCATGTTGGCTTCAGAACTCTTGTTCTTCTTCTTTGGAACTTTGCATTCAGAGGACTTGTGGCCAGACTTGCCACAATTGAAGAATTTTCCATGAAACTTCTTCTTGGTAATGCCTTCATTCGGACCTAGCTTTTGCTTGTCCATCTTGTTCTTCTTGGAGCTTTTACCATGCTCCACAACATTGGCCTTAGCGCCAACAGTGACAGAATTTCTCCCATCAATCGTCCTGTTCCCCTCCTCAATTCGGAGTCGTTGGATCAGGTCCTCCAGGTTCATCTCCTTTCGCTTATGCTTAATGTAGCTCTTGAAGTCCTTCCACCATGGAGGTAGCAAGTGGATAACAGATCCCACTAGGAAGGCTTCACTCAATGTCATGCCCTCGTCACGGATTTCATCGAAGATTAATTGTAAATCTTCTACCTGACTTTGCACGGTTTTGGAATCAACCATTTTGAAGTCAAGGAATCGGCCAACCACAAATTTCTTTGCACCGGCATCCTCACTTTGGTATTTATCATCCAAGGCTTCCCACAGCGCTTTCACTGTGCCAATCTTGCGATATACATCGTATAACGCATCACATAATTCGTTCAGGATGTAGTTTCGGCATAGGAAGTCCGAATCCTTCCAATAGCCAACTGCCATCACGGATTAGGCATCTTGTTCCCTTAATTCGGGAACCTTCTCAGTCAAGAATCTTGCCAAGCCGATAGTTGTCAGGTAGAACAACATCTTTTGTTGCCCCCTCTTGAAGTTCGATCCACTACCAGTGAACTTCTCCGGTCTTTCGGCCGAACCACTCGGTACCGAAGGTACCTGAGTCATGTGAATATATCCCTCGGTGCTCCCACCATCTTGTAAACCAACATTCACTGGTGGGGCTTGGGAATTTGCAACATTGTTGCCATTCCCACCACTGTTGTTCTCAACAACATTCTCCTCCCCATGAATTGGCAAAACGGGGTTCTCCATTTCTTCTAGGAAATTAGAGATAAACAACCACCAGGAAACGAGAATAAAGTTTTAAGATTGTTAGGTAATAAGGTGGAAAAATCCCAAAATAATAATCCTACAGAAAGATTATTATTATATGGGAAAAACAGAAAAAACTGGGTAAAGGTTAGCACGAGTTTGAACACAATGTTCTTTTCCTTAAAACCTTATTTTCTATCTCCCACAAGTGCTAGGAGCGTTGTAGCCTAGGTTTCCCAGGATAAAATGTGCTGCAATTCTTTGTTTAAGCACCCAAACAAGGAACCCGGCAAACAAAGCAAGGCAAGAACACAGTTTGCTAAAGAAGAGAGTAGAAGCAGAGTGTTTGGAAGAAAAAACGTACTGGAATTCCTTTGTTTCTTGTTGTGTGTAAAATGCTACTGCTCTACCTCTCTTTATATGAGGCTGTTCGGGTTTCAGACCGTTGGGGTGCAGGTTCGTTGTTCAGGATACGAGAGTACAAGGACTAGCAACACGAGAGTGCACCTCTCGTGTTCACCAGAGCTCGTGCTCTCGGTGCACCACAACCTCTCGTGCTCTCTGTAGCACGAGAGTGGTGCTCACGGTTCCGGACAACATTCGTGCTCGCAGGTGCCGGCGCACACGAGCTCGGTCTTGAATCAAGCCTTTTCGATCTTGTTTCTAGTTGGAATTTGATTTGCACACCCCCCCCCCCCCGTGCGAGAGAGCCTCTATGCTATACAAATTCTACAAGCTCCGAAAGAGCTCTTGTATAAAAGGGGGGCAAATCCTCTTTCCAAACCAATGTGGGACAAATCTCACTTTTCCCTTCATTTCCCAACTCAAATGGGTCTACTTTGAGAATCAATATCTCATTCACCCATTATCCGTTTTGAGCGTACAATATATCAATCTCTTTGTCTCACTACGAAAAACCTGAATCCACTTTGACCCGACCCAAATCGGAAGTGGACCCCACTGATAATTGTACCACAAAATAGCCACTTAATATGCCATTTTAAGCTATTTTTTCCAACAGTATTTCTAGCCGCTACATAACCACCACCCCCGTTATGCACCACAGCAGAAACAGAACCCTCTAGTCTTCTACGAAAGATCGCGGCATCAACATGGATGTGCATACAGTCACTTTTATATCATGCCAGGGTATAGCGCATGATCGACAACACCATGAGTGTTCAAATCAAGTGTAGGAAAATCAACCCAATCATTTAGCAAATGAACTAATTGTCTCTTCACATCATCATAAGACCAAGACTTATGATCCCATACTGGATCAGTTCTGCTCTTCCAGATGAACAAACAGAGAGCCACACACATGTACTTCACATTCACGTTTTCAGTAGCCATAATGCTTGATAACCATCCCTCAAAAGATTCCACATCATCAGCAGCAGGGATATTCAACTGATCGACCCATAAAACACTAGTATATTGACAGTCCCTAAACAAATGCATAGGGTAACGGGGCACGAAACATCAATATTGATTCCACGAAGAGAAAGAGCTGTGCGTACCTGTAATATCGATCTTGCACATCTCCACATAAAGTTAAGGAACTCTGGGGAAGGTGTAGCTTCCATAAAGACGTCCAGGCTGTGAAAAAGGAACCTTCACCTATGAGAATACCATGTTCCAAATTATACCTGTGCTTGACCGAATACATCCCACGAATATCATACCGCCAACACCATTGATCCTCAAAAGTTGGTGAAACTGGTATTTTCATGATCAATTCAACATCTTTGTCACGAAACAACTCCTTTAACAATGGTAAATCCCAAGCTTACAAGATCAATTAGACCCGACACCATAGCGGTGCCATGATGTTCAAACCAGGCTGTATGGAGAAAATGAGCAACTACATCTGGTAACCATGGATCATCCCATACATGCATCTACTTACCATTACCAATTTGGCGGTAGCAGCCCCTCCGGAGGATATTCTGTCCAGCCAAAATAGATCTCCAACAGTAACTAGGATTAGCACCCTATCCTACTTCTAAAAATGAGCATTTTGGGAAGTACCTAGCCTTATACAGCCTTGCAACAATAGAATTCGGCTGCGAAAGAATTCTCCATCCCTGTTTAGCTAAGAGTGCTAGGTTAAACTCATGCAAACGCATAAAGCCAAGGCCATCATACTGCTTAAGCATACACATCCTGGACCAGAAAGCCAATGCATCCCCCTTTGATTATTACCTTTAGAATCCCACCAGAATCTATTCATGATCCTTTCCAAACTTTCACAGAAAGTAGTTGGAAGATAATAGATGCTCATAGTATAAGTGGGTAGAGCTTAGGACACACTCTTTAGTAGCACTTCTTTACCTACTCTAGATAAAATTTTCTTATTCCAGCCACCCAACCTTTGCTTCAGTTTTGTCTCAATGAAACCAAACACATCTTTTTTATTCCCCTCACCCCAACAACAAGCCAAAGTACTACCCAATTGATTTTGCCCGTATCATCCCAAACATTGCTACAACTGAATTACCTACCTCAACTCCAACATTTCTACTGAAAACAATACAAGACTTGCAAAAATTCACGGCTTGTCCTGACATTTTCTCATACTCTACTAGACAATTTCATACCACCTGAGCCTCCTCAATCGTGGCCTTAAAAAAGACCAGACTATCATCTACAAAGAAAAGGTGAGATACCCCTGGGGCCCCTCTTGCTATTGAACAGGCAGTTAAATATTTAGCTTGGACACATTTTGTTAAAAGGCAAGAGAGCCCTTTGGCATAGAGAATGAACAGATAAGGCGAGAGGGGATCACCTTGTCATAGTCCCCTAGTCGGAATAATCACCTCAGACACATCCCCATTCACCACTACTGGATATCTAACAGTGGATACGCACATCATTATCAATTCAACCCATTCATCCGCAAAACCCATACTGCTCATGACTTCCTTGAGATAGGTCCACTCCATTCGATCGTACGCCTTCGCCATATCCAGTTTAAGTGCACCCCAGTGATGGACAATTTTAATATTTATGTCCTCGCAAGTGCACGAGTCACTGTAGTAATAGCGTGCAAAGCAAGGGTCGATCCCACGAGGAATTGTACGATGCAATTAATTACGTTTTAATTACAGTAAATTAACAAAAACTGGATGATTTAAGGTAATAGGATCAAATGCCAAAAGTAAATTCTATAAAACTCGGGAAGATAAACAATGAAATCATACTGAAAAGCAGAATAGCAAATAGATTAAATTAAACGACAATCAACATAGTTTAAACAAAATGAAAATGCACGAATTGATATGTAATAGAGTAACAAAAGTCTAGGAACATGAATTTAATTAGCAAAAATATTTTAATATCAACCCTTAAAAGTAAATATAATAAAGCTTAATAAATAAAAGCAAATAAAGCTTGGCAATAAAAGTAAAATAATTAAGCAATGCAAATATAGTAGACTCTACAATCTAGGTTCAATTTTGAATACATAAACTGCCAACCAATTAAATAAAATGAATAAATTAAGAGAGTTATGACTTGAGTAGATGAATTGAACAAAACCACAAAAATGAATTAACAAATAGAAAGAATAAAGAGATTTGAAGAATTACAAAGTAAATTAACAAATCAAAAGAATAGGAGATAGAAGAATTGCCGTATGGAACTGCTGCTACAAAAGAATGAATTTGTTTGCTGTTGTGATAGAAACACTGCCCGGAATTGAAGCTGCCTCAGACCTCGATTGTTCTCTTCTTTTCGCACCTCCGGAATTGATCCGGGGTAGAATTCATGTCTTCCTCTTCAAAACTGCCCTCTTTTTATATTGCTTCAGCCCAACTACTTCTTCCGCTCTTCCACTATTCATTCGGATCGCCAGAGGAATCAAAATGCGAAATATGGTTCTGGTTTGCGTAGCCCTATGGCCTCTGCGCCTTTCTCTCGTAAATATTTTGACTAACATTAATTTATTAAATGACCTAATAATAATAATAATAATAATATAATAATATAATAATAATAATCTTATTAGATATCATATATAACTAATCTACCTTTACTAAACTCCTACTGAACATGTACTACTAAAATTAATAATATTATAATTAAATTAGAATCAATGAACTATTAAACTGACAAAATTCAAATAATAGACAAATTTAATAATTAAAACAACCTAAAATTGAATAACTATCAAAGCTACTAATAATAACAATAATAAATAAAAATAAATATAAAATTAATTAATTATTGCAAATTAACTATAAAAAGATTATTAAAAATAACAACAAAAATAATGTTTATCACCCAGCCATAATTCCCACTCTACTTATGCTAAAGAAAGTGCAAGACCTCAAAGGCAACAAGAACATTGTCAATAATTAACCTCCCAGGGATAAAAACACTTTGTGTATCCGAAACAATATCACCAATTACATCCTTGAGGCGGTTAGATAACATCTTAGCAAGGATCTTATAAGCCACATTACAAAGTGCAATAGGCCTAAGATCCTCCATGCTCTCTGGTATAGCTTTTTTAGGGACAAGAGTAATATTCACATCATTCATACCTTTAGGCATTCTTCACTGTTGTATACATTCAAGAATGAAACGTGAGACATCCATACCAATCTCCGGCTATGTTGCTAGAAAGCTGGATTGAACCCGTTAGGGTCGGGAGATTTATCAGGGGCCATACTGAGAATAGCATCCCCACGTCATCCACTGTAAAATCCCGGAGCAGCTGAGCATTAGTTGTGTCTGTCACCTTCCTACGCATACCACCAACACCATCTCCAATTTGAACCCCATTCATAGTAAAAATCATCTTAAAATAGTTTCTAGTCAGGCTTGTAAGACCATCCGATTCAACCCACAAACCGGACTCATCCCGTAATTTCTTCAAATCATTCTTCTTTTTTTCGATTTGTGGCATATGCATGAAAAAATTTTGTATTACGGTCTCCCAATTTCAGCCAATGCTGCTTAGCACGTTGGCGCAAAAAAATGTTATGCTGATCCATCAAAGCTCTCATCTCCCCGTCAATCTGCCTCACTTCCCTCAACGAACCAGGATCACGCTAGCCCCTAAGAGCATTTAGTCGGTCTTGTAATATCCTTATTTTCCTGTCTAACTAATGTCCAAGATCTCCACCCCACTGCCTCAACTTATTACTGCACACAAGTAATATGTCAAGTAAACCTTCCCCTCAGTTTGATTTCATGCATGACATAATATCTCTACAACCATTCTCCTTAAGCCAAGCATTCTCAAACAAGAACCTCTTCCTCCTTGCTCTTGTCTGTGGTTTCTCCACATCAATAAAGATGGCGGAGTGGTCATATGTCAAAACATCAAAATTATACACAATCATGGTTGCAAAAATCGTGCCTAGGCGGTGATTAATCGGTGCCTGGCCACGTCGAGGAACGCCGAAATCGGCTTCCTCCGCGGCCGGGCGCCTAGGCAGCCTCCTATACGGTCTAGGCGTCCGAACTCCCAATTGTTTTTTTTTGGCAAATAACCCCATAAAAACTTTTTTAAACAATTAAAAATTTTTTATAAAAAAAACTAAAAAATCGGGCGCTTAAGGGGTGCCTAGTGTCTTTTTCAACACTTACACAGTAGCATGTGCATGTGCATGTAACATGCAGCATTCAGCACCCGCTACTACCCTGTCAAGCCTGTAACACCCCACTTTTCTTAAACTTAATTAACAAATTAAACCTTTAAAGATAAGCTAAAGCAGCGGATTAAAACAACTAAATAAACATAAAGAGGTGTCACCGCCATAATCACCACCCACGGTGACTGCACAGGCTATAAAAAGAATCTAAAAGAGTCAAGCTCAAAGTAATACAACCAAACTTGGGGAACAAAGCCCCAGTGATCAACACCAACAAAAGATAAGGTAGTCAACTACAAACCCAAATAACATAAGAGTTTAGACTACAAAGCTATCTAAGCTAAACTAGTCTAACTCGTACTCTCTTTCTTACGAATTGGGCCCACCTGAAAGGGGTTAACACACAACAAGTAGAAAACAAACCCGTTAGCACGAAGCTAAGTATAACGCCACTCAACCCTTTAAAGTAAATACAGTATATACTTTTGGAAAGCATTTGTTTCACATTCTTAGACCAAACAACTTAATCACTTAATCATACTTGGCATTAACTTCTAGATGTTTGCAACCTAATAACAAATAGGCATGCTTATATAACAAACACCACATCGCAGCCTCAAAACTTGTAAACAAATCTAAAGTTTTCTCAAGTACTCAACAATCTCATGCTTTCTCATATAATCAAATAAGCAATCTCATGCTATCAAATATCTCATAAGCAATCTCATGCTATCAAATAACTCATAAAGCAAACTCATGCAATCAAATAACTCATAACGCAAACTCATGCTATCAAATAACTCATAAAGCAATCTCGAGCTATCAACTACTAATCATGCAATCTCGTGCAAGGTATATAACTCATAAGCAATCTTGTGCTATCAACTACTAATCATGCAATGTGCAAGGTATATAACTCATAAGCAATCTCGTGCTATCAACTACTAATCATGCAATCTCGTGCAAGGTATATAACTCATAAGCAATCTCGTGCTACTAATCATGCAATCTCGTGCAAGGTATATAACTCATAAGCAATCTCGTGCTACTAATCATGCAATCTCGTGCAAGACATATAACTCATAAGATGATGTATAGTATAAGTATAGATATACATATACACTTTTTTGTAAAAAGTATACTTTTCTGTGGAGGTTTCTTAGAGCCAAAAATGACTTGCTTTCTTAGAGTCGCAATGACTCGCTTTCTTAGAGTCGCAATGACTCGCTTCCTTAAAGTCGTGATGACTCGCTTTCTCTTTACTCGTGGGCGAGGCAGGACTTCACCATAATGTGAACGAACCTATTGGGTTCGGCGTCTAGCCGGCTAATCTCGCATCCCGCCCACAGATCCAATCTCGTGGTTCCAAAACTCAAACTCTGTGGAATCAGGTATCGAACTATTAGTGTGCACACCCCCTGACCAGGATTCCAAGCCTGGCGGGCAGTTTCTAACCTCGTAACGTGGGAATACGCCGCGTTATATGATATCGGATTGCAATGTCTTTTTCTTTCTCTTTTACTACGAAAGGACATAGTCCAAACGGTCTTCCAAAACAAGATTTTCCTCACAATAGATACATATAGATATCACTCATGCAACTCGAATCATGAAGCATTTATCTTATGCAAATATGCACATAACTTCTCAACACATTCTCAATATGACAAGATAATGACTTTCCAAAATGGATATGAGTTTTTGGAAAATAATACTTAGGCTCACGTTGGCCACTTATGCACTTTTAAAACATGATATGCTCAAAATGCAATTCACTGTAAACATGTTTCAATTCCAAGTTACTGTGAACTCTCAAAGAACACTTAAAATCATGCTTGTAAACCATAAGTTGGCAAATCTTCTCAAAAAACACTTAACAAGTATTTAACATGCACTTAGAACTCAAGGTACTCAATTTATGCTCATTCACTGTATGTTAATATTCAAGATAGACATGCTCTGTACACTTCATCATTTAGGAACTTGACAATGACCTCAATAAATCATAATTTACACTTTAGACATGCTTTTCTAGCAAAACCATAACAAATAATGTTCATGCTTCTCTATTTAACAAATCAGATAATAATATGCTTTTCAGATAGATAAACAAACACTGATACTTCTCATTTTCATTCACTGGAACAACTTCTGTAGCAATTTTCTTTACAAAACTAACACTAAGAGCTCATTTCTTCACCAAATTCAATGAAATCAAAGCCAAAACGTGTGTTAAGACGGCCCCGAGGTTCCGATCCACAAGGGCCCACGACTCCTGGTCCGAAACGACACGTAGCTGAGCCATAAGGGCCCGACCACTACACAGGTTTTACTCAACGGGGCTCTTGGCAGGGCGGGACTCGAGTCCCGCCCCTTGGCCCGTCAATTTCACGGCTCAGGGCAACGGCCTTCACCAAGGGCCATGCCCTGGGGCCGCCTACTCACGGGGCTGGCCAACGGCTCCTGTCTAGGGCCGCTGGCTAGGCCCGTGAGACTGTCTGGTGCACACTGCCTTGTGCACCAGATGATCTCTTTCACCTGCAAAGATTATTTCATGCATTCTAACACTTCCAAAACCTCAACAACACAACATAGATCAACAATAGCTCAAACACTCCAATAATCTAGCATTTATACTCATTTCTACCACAAAATAGACTTCACAGAGTCTTATAAATCGCTTTGGGAGTCCATGGGGTTATACCTTTGAAGTTTTCTTCTTCTTGCTTGGATTCCACCTTCTTCCCAAGCTAGATTCCCCCTTCTTTACCTCCTAAACATACCAAACAACCACACAACAACTCACTACCAAGTTCTCAGAGAAAGGATAAAGGCTTAGGAGGAAAATGAATGGATGAGAAGAGAAGTTAGAAATCTTACTGTGTTTTCTTCTTGTTTTGCAGCTATAGGTTGGGAAGCCAAGAGTGGAATCAAAGAGGCAAAGTCTGATAATGGCTCATTATATACTAGCACAAAACCCTAG